TTTCTTCCATCATCTTGGCCACCCTGAACAGAATGAGCAACTGGAGAACAACATCCATCTCAGTTTTGGGGATGGACTCTCTGGGCATCTAACATGGTTTGAAATGTATAGTTCAAACTCTTTCTGTGTGTATAGCACAGGAATATCCTTTGGCTCACATGGGTGGGTGCTGAGCAAAGAGAGATATAGCTGGATCAACAGTTGTCTGGTCTTTGTGACTTCAGGCTTAGACTGTGACAGTGTGTCTAAACAGCTCATTGCCTTGTTTCAGCTACATGTCTATCAGTTGGAAGGAAAAATATGCACCATTGCCTCCAGGGTAGAGGGGGCTGGTTTTCTGTTGGAGGGATACTTTAGAGGAAGAGAGAAGGGACGAATGGAAACCGTTCTGCCACTTTGCCCAATGGCTCTTTGTTCTTTTATAGAAGTATGTTGGGAGAATGAAATAGGCTGAATGCATAGAGGAGGAAACTGTGTCAAGCGAGGCACTGAAAGTGGAGGATTGTCCATGCTTGGACGGCAGTAGTAAATACTGGAAGACAGTGTTTGGAAAAAGGTGTTTCCACTCTAACAGGTTGGGGTGGAACTTGACATTCCTTCATACCAGGGTCCTCAGGGCGCCGTCCTCAGCAGAACAATGTTTCATAACTCTCTTCACTTGGGCATAACCATGACACTACTCTTGGCTGTGCTCTCTTTTGTTCTGAGAGCTCGAAAGTAAAGAGGTTGACACAAAAAGGCCTGAGCGGAACTAGTTCAAAGCAAACTGTGAGGTTGTTGGGGGCGGGCGGGGCCGACCCAGTTACCTTTCACAAGAACTACTCCAACAGGTGTTGGCTGCCATTCTGAACCCAGGCACCTCTCCTTGAGGCAGCATCCCTCTTCAGGGGAAAATTGCATCATTCCAGCACAATACTGCAATATTCTGTTGTACGTCAGTCGTGATATTGAGTGCAGCAGTGTGGATTATGGCTTCCTCAAAGTCATGAGCATTCACTGATAATGTCATGTGTCACATGTGAACATAAGAAGAGCTTGCTGGATCAGGCTCGTGCCCTCCCCCCAAAAAACGCATTGTGTGCATGGCAAACTGTGACAGCAAGGCCCCAGCTGTGGAGATCTGGTGTTGTGAGGGTCACGTTGCTGCTGAACGTGGGAAATAGATGTGTCCCATTCCTCTGTGGTTACTCATAGTGAAATTAAGATGCAACTGTGAGAATGGCCCAGGTGGATTTCCATGTGGTTTGTATCTTAGATTCACCTTAAGGACCAACAGCAGAAGAATAGTTGCTTCTCTCTCGCCCCTCTGCACACACATTCTGATGATACAGTGCTTACAACAAGTTGTCAGGGGTTTAGCATTCTGTTTGCAAGGTTCATTGCACTGATGCTATTACTTCCTTACTTGTTCTCTTATGCTGAATCTTCCCCTGCCCCCCCCCACCCACAGCACTAATCACAACAGAGTTATTCCATCTCTAAGGCTGAGGGGGGAACCCAGGAAGTTTACCTGTGCTAAACCAGCTGAAATGGAGCCCCCATTAATTTCTGTGGGTTTCCACAGGAGACTTTTCTTGGGAACTCTGCTTCCAAGGTTGCGCTGGACCAAATATACCAACACCAGGTGCTTAACGTCTTGGGGTAGACTTCAATAAGAATTTATATGCTCTGGGTCAACCTCTACCATTCCTCTACCTGGCTGCTAGGAGAGCAAGCTAATTTTTAAGAAGCTTGTGAAAGCATTGTTCCCAAATCTATGCCTTAAAATGCTTCTCCAAGCACTCGGCATTACCCTGGAAAAGTACCCTCCAGTTTGTGGTAAGGGTACAGCTGCTGGCATACATCATTTCACTATGAACAAATTTATGCCACAAATTCAAGCAGTGGAAATTCTGTTGTTGATTTTCTCTGCTGTTCAGATGGTTTAATCCTCAACTATGCAGCATTTTTTAATTTTCTAACCTCCATTTATTAACTGGAATCAGTGAGCATTAATATAATAAATAAGATTAATTTATTAAATTTTGGTTTCCTCTGCTCGTTCTTGTCTCTGTGTGTATGTGTGTTTGTGTGTTGCATTTGGTGGATGTTAGGGCTGCAATACATCTGAAATTTCCCGGACATAGCCAGGATTTGGCTATTGGAAACAGTGCCCGGGTAGAAAATGCTTAAATGTCTGGGGAAATCAGGAAGCATGGCACCCCAAAACTCAACAACTTTTGTGTTTGGATTTTCACTTTTTGAAATATGGCAACCGTAGGCATGTTGTTGGCAGAGAAGTCTGCACCACATATGGATATCTCAACCCTGAAGCCTTCTTCCCACTATGCCTCCTTGCACGTCTTCCCCTCTGCGTTTCTCAAGTACTACACCTGATGCAGTGAGCCATGGATAGACACCATTCACATAAAAATAACTGGGAAGCTGAGATGACCCCAGAACAAATTGTGTCCAGGACCCAAGAACAACAGGCCCAGCCTGGCCTCCTGCCCAGCTGGAAGACTGCAGACTTTAAAAATGTATGCAGCTGCTTCCATTGAGAGGTAAAGGTAAAGGGTCCCCTGACCATTAGGTCCAGTCGTGGCCGACTCTGGGGTTGTGGCGCTCATCTCACTTTATTGGCCAAGGGAGCCGGCGTACAGCTTCCAGGTCATGTGGCCAGCATGACTAAGCCACTTCTGGCAAACCAGAGCAGCACACAGAAACACTGTTTACCTTCCCGCCGGAGCGGTACCTATTTATCTACTTGCATTTTGATGTGCTTTCGAACTGCTAGGTTGGCAGGAGCAGGGACAGAGCAACAGGAGCTCACCCCGTCGCGGGGATTTGAACTGCCGACCTTCTGATCAGCAAGTCCTAGGCTCTGTGGTTTAACCCACAGCGCCACCTGTGTCCCTCTCGATTGAGAGAGGTGTCTACAAATGGATTAGGAACTGGGTGGCAGCAGGGGATATGGACAGAAGCAACTAGGAACAAAAGGAATACCTCTTAAACCAAAATGAACAGCTAGACAAGACACCGTATCTGGCCAAGTTGATTCCTAGAGTGGATAATATACAAAGGAAGAAAAGGGGTAGCTTTCGCTAACAACGCTTTATGTCTGAGTAGCTGGCAAAGCTTTTGAGCGATGGAGTCGTTCAACGAAAAGTTCTGCGTAAGTAATAGCAGTGACTGCATTTATATCATAGGAGCCAACTCCTTGGGGTCAACTTCCCTTTGGTCCCCCAATAAAAAATTTGAGGGGACTGCTGCCCCAAAGTTGATGGGCATTGCCATTCAGGTGGTGCATGTATGCTGTGTCCCATGTTTGATTATGCGGGGTGGGGTTTACAGGCCCCCCATATTTTATTCAAATTGGCACCCCTGATTTATATGATACTTGAGTGTTCAGAGTGCTTCACACAGTCTCATTGTCCTTAAGGAAATGCTGTCCTGGAACCAATCAGAGACCTAACCTTTCTTACTGGTTTATCTCTGGTTGTAAAAATACAGTCAGGGTGCTGAGCCAAGCAATTCTTAGTGCTGCCCAATCATGGATCTTCCCTTGAAAAGCGACGTGGCAATGGACTTGCAAGTTGATGTTTGCTCCAATTCAGCTTTAAAGAGCAGGAAAAGCCTGAGGTTAAAAATAATAATAACAACGCTTGGACACAGGGTGGGTAGTGTGTTTTGCATACCTTAGAATCTGGATGGCACATTTGGCGCTTCTCAACTACATCCCTGGATTACTCAGGTCAGCGCTGCAACCTGTCTAACTTTTTCATCCACGCTCTGCTCTTGCACACAGTGCTAAGGAACGGAAGAGTCACCCAGGCAGCGCTGTGAACCAGCTGGGACTTCTTGCTTCTAGGGCAGCCCTGTGGGTTCCCTTCTCTTGCATGGGAGATCTCTAAGCAATGACTTCACTCCTCATCCATCTCTACCCATGAGCCATGGATGCCACATCTTTTGGAGCACTAAACATCAGCCACAGCCCTGCCAAGTGGGATGCTGCAGTAGCAACCCAGTAGCAGTTTTGTTCTCTGGTCTAGGAAGCAAGACACACACACACACACACACACACACACACACACTGTGTTTACCAAGCTCGTGGGGCGGTGACGTCAACCCAGCCACTAGGGTTCTATAAATGGAAATGCTCATTCTTAGTTAAGATACAGCACTCGGCGGGGGAGAAAGGAGGGAGCTCTGATTCAGCCTCCACGCATCCTAGCCTCACATCATCAGGAAAAATTAAACTCCCAGAGGCTCCCTCAGGAATTGGTGAGGCTGCATTTGCCAAGTGACACAATGAGCTTTGAAGGCTACTGGTGTTAACTATGTGGATGCCGCATTGTGGAACAATGCAAACTTGCCTAGACATCAGGACGGACCAATGGCACATTTACCACACTACAGTCTACTGACAGTGCCTTGCCAAAATCTCCGGCAAAGATTTTGTTGATGTTGTTAGCCTTTCTGAACCAGAGGTTGCCACAGATATATAAAATATGTGCTCTGTTCCTGAGATAGACACATTTTGAACTTTTTGTACCACATGTACAAAGCCACATAGGCCACCTGAAATTAAGCTCAGCAAAGGGCTTGTTTGAAGGATTGTTGGGCACAATCCGGCCACAGTTAAGTCGTAAGGGCATGTCTTGTACTTCATCAAGCTCTTGGTCTGATGGATTCATGCCTTTTTGGCCAGGTAGCAGTTCTTTCAGCCTGGCTACCTCAACTTCTTTAATTGAAGATGACTAGGACAGAATCTTGGGTCTTAAGAAGCCGTGTGCTCTTATCAATTTCATTGTGTGAGAATTACACAAATGTCACCCTGCTGTGACTTTTTCTCCTCACTTTTCACATGGTAAAGTGATCTTATGAACGCCTCACTATGGGGTGAGCTCCCACAGCCTGAAAAGTATTACCTTGTGGTGAATTTTCCTCCTTAAAAATGGCCATGTGACTTGGATCACGCCTGACTTTCCCCAAAAACATTATTGTTTACCTTGCTTGTCTGTTTTTAATTATATTTTATTTGGTTACTATAGTACAGAACCATATGAATATAGAATTTGAAAATGGAAACAAACCAACAAAATTACCCCGCCACCCTCTCTGAGAGATAAAAGTCGATTCAAGTTCACTTCACATATCCAGGTCCTAGAGGTCTGCAAAAGATAACATAAAAATAGTCAAACCAGCCAAAAATGCTTATATGAAGTATGAAGTCCTTTATAATAATTATTCACAGTATATATAATAAAACAGTGCCATTCTATCATAAAGGAGTCCTTTCATTTTCTACCTTGTGCCATTCTAAGTTTATTGGTGAGTTTATCAAAACATGCCAATTTCCAGACTTAACTGTGACGAGTTAGTATAGTAAGAGTTTACTTAGTACTTATCATTTTGTTTCATTTGGCCCTCATATTAGCTTTATTTTTTTAATTTAAAATCCCCAGAGAACCAGAAGCTGCCCTTAAATTCAGACAGACACGTTGCACTTTTGTTTCTCCAACTTTTCACTATAGAATATCTAGGCAAAGACTTTGAATAAATGAGGAGCAAATTCCCTGTGCATAGATTGCAATCCTTTGCAGAACACACTGGAACTTCCTTTTGAATAAACATGTACTACACAGCATTGCATGGCGAATGTAATAAAGGACGCCATTTGGCATGCAAGTGGAAGACAAAATGTGTTCTCCAACAGGCATGCAAGTTTGTGGTTCACTAGTTCCATTCACTGGACATTTTGGTTAAAGCCTTACCCTGCAGATGACAGTGTGCAGTCAGATTTATCCATCATCTCTATCTTTGTTCTGTAAGGAGTGAAAACACATAGATACGTGTACTTTAAGTTCATGTGCCTTTGATCACTTGCTACTTGGGTGCAACTCAAATAGCTTTGGCTAATTCTGAAGGTACAGTGGTACCTCGGGTTACAGACACTTCAGGTTTCAGACTCCGCTAACCCAGAAATAGTACCTTGGGTTAAGAACTTTGCTTCAGGATGAGAACAGAAATCGTGCAGTGGTGTCGCAGCGGCAGCGGGAGGCCCCATTAGCTAAAGTGGTACCTCAGGCTAAGAACAGTTTCAGGTTAAGAACGGACCTCCAGAACGAATTAAGTTCTTAACCCGAGGTGCCACTGTATTGACTTTGCACTGGTCTGGATATCGTTGCATCCCATAGAAACCATTTACTCAATGATTGTTGATCCTCACACTCTGGTGGCCTTGAATATAATGTGTCCATTCGTTTTCATGGAGCACATCCTTAACGGAAAGTTCAGCATGTGTTAAGTGTCTAGGTAGGAAGTCATCTAAATATGATGCAAGTGTGTGACACAGTTTCTGTAGCAACATGGCACCCATGGCACCTTTGTTACCAAGATCTTGTTCTATACCTGCTTAACCCACCCACCTTAATTTTAATAAACATGCCTTTCATCGACTGCAATAAGAATCATAGAATCACAGAGTTGGAAGGGACCCCAATTGTTATCTAGTCCAGCCTCCTGCAAAGCAGGAGTCTCAAGTGAAACATCAATAACAGGTGGCCCTCCAACCTGTGCTTAGAAACCTCCAAGGAAGGAGAGTCCACCACCTTCCAAGGGAGTCCATTCCACTGTCAAACAGAAACTTTCTTACTTTCAGAAAGTTCATCTTGATGTTTAGTCGGAATTTCCTTTCTTGTACCTTGAATCCAATGGTTCAGGGCCTTGATTGGTTGCCCTTCAGGTTTTCCCCACCCCCAGTTTCCAGCAGGAGAAAAGTGACCTTGCCAGACTGGGCCTTTCTGCTCTGTTGAATTCTGAAAACTACCGTATTTTTTGCTCCATAAGACACAATTTTTTCCTCCTAAAAGGTAAAGGGAAATGTCTGTGCATCTTATGGAGCAAATGCGTGGTCCCTGGAGACGAATTGCCCAGGGGCAAAAAGAAGATTGTGCTTTTTCTTTTTAGAAAGAGGGAAGGGGGTGTTGAAACAAAGCCGCTGAGCAGGTGATCGGCAAGTGATCGGGAGGGAGATAAGGGATACTATTGATAAAGGAGGCTGCCTGGGAGTGGGGAGGTAAAAGCCCATGGATCCTCAGGATTTTTGCATTGGGTCACCCCAAATTCACCATCCGATCACATAGCGTGTCCATGGCTATAGCCTGCACCAAAAAATCACGCATCCACTGTTTTGTGGGGCCGCAATGGCGCAAAAACGTGGTTACAAAGCATGGTTCCACATGGATCCTCAGGATTTTTGCATTGGGCTACCCCAAACTCGGGACGCGGGTGGCGCAAGGGACGTGGGTGGTGCTGTGGGTTAAACCACAGAGCCTAGGACTTGCCGATCAGAAGGTTGATGTTCGAATCCCTGCAACGGGGTGAGCTCCTGTTGCTCAGTCGCTGCTCCTGCCAACCTAGCAGTTCGAAAGCACATCAAAGTGCAAGTAGATAAATAGGTACCGCTCCGGCGGGAAGGTAAACGGCGTTTCCGTGCGCTGCTCTGGTTTGCCAGAAGCGGCTTAGTCATGCTGGCCACATGACCTGGAAGCAGTATGCCGGCTCCCTCGGCCAATAAAGCGAGATGAGCGCCGCAACCCCAGAGTCAGTCACGACTGGACCTAATGGTCAGGGGCCCCTTTACCTTTACTTACCCCAAACTCACCGTCAAATCACATGTCTGTGGCCACAGCATGAACCACAAAAATCATACATCCACTGTTTTGTTCAGAATTTTTTTTTCTTGTTTTCCTCCTCTAAAAACTAGGTGTGTCTTATGGTCAGGTGTGTCTTGTGGAGCGAAAAATATGGTGCCTACTTTTTATGTTATGCAGGCAACTCCCCGTTTGTGCAGGGGTTGCGTTCCGGGTCTTTGTGTGCGTAAGCCTGTTCTGCCCCCTTCCGGGGCTGGAAGTGGCATGCATGTCGGTGGCAGAGCCCACGACCTCCTGAGGGAATCCATTCCATGGTCAAACAGCTCTTACTGGAGGCCGAGGGTTAGGTGGTAGCAGCAGTTCACTTGAGGAGAGATGACAAGCAGTGTGCCCAAGGCTACCTAGTGGACCTTTTGAGGTTCAGAAGAGAGAGGGGTCTTTTCTCAACTCTCAGGAGCCTTCTTTGAGGGCTCATTGCTGAAGACTGTGGACAAGGTCCCCTGTGCCTCAGCACAAATACAGTGGTACCTCGGGTTAAGTACTTAATTCGTTCCGGAGGTCCGTTCTTAACCTGAAACTGTTCTTAACCTGAAGCACCACTTTAGCTAATGGGGCCTCCTGCTGCCGCCGCACTGCCAGAGCACGATTTCTGTTCTCATCCTGAAGCAAAGTTCTTAACCTGAAGCACTATTTCTGGGTTAATGGAGTCTGTAAACTGAAGCGTATGTAACCTGAAGGGTATGTAACCCGAGGTACCACTGTACCAACAGAGCCTCTCATATCTCTAGTTCATGGTTAGGTAAACAGATAGCCTGAAAAATATTAGCAGCGGTGGCACTTGAAGTGTGTGTGTGTGTGTGTGTGTGTCCACTGCCACTCACAGCACCTGCCAACTCTTACCTGAGGAGGAATAGAAAAGGGGGGGGGCTTTGGATAGGATGCCCCAACCCTCCCTAGTCTGGGAGCCCCAAGGATCCTGAAAGGTCCCGTTTCTCTGCTCCTTTCCCATATAAAGTCTGAAAATGTTCACCGCTTGGCTTAAGGCAAACATGTTTATAAAAGCACTGTGGAACCTGGCACCCGAACAGCCTCTCGCACTCCCCTCTCCCTCATTCCGGCCTGCACTGCCTCACTGGCCCACTGCTGCTCGCTTCTGATTGTTACCAGATTTATGGACAGCCGAGGGAAAGGGAGAGGGGGGGGGAACAAAAAGCAAAGCAGGAGAGGAAGGAGGCTGGACTTATAAGGCAAGTTAAAGAGCAGGAATCAATCTGCAACAGCCAGAAGTTTGGCTCATTAGTTATAGCAGCGCGGAGATAAATGGAAGCCGCCACCCTCCCTCTGCTGTGTGCCAGTAACTTTCAGACTTGCATGGTTTAAAAAAACCTTCAGTAGGACTGATAAGGGGTGTGGGAGCTAGCAGTTAGAGCAAGGGGCAGGGAGCCAACGCTCTGTTTCATTGCCTGCTCTGGGCGTGGAGTTGCGGCAGGATTCCTGCACTCCGTTCTTTGCTCTATAAAAGTTGCGAGGGAGGGGACTTTGAACCAGAGGTCTTCGATTTTACTAGCCCAGCCCTGCTAGGGTAGCGGTGATGACTATCCACATGCAGGCACATGGGTAGACAACACAAGACCGGTGTCCTTGAGAGCCTTGAAAGCAGGGGGGGAAACAGCTTGTGAGAAAAACCGTCTCCATCCATGGCTGCTCCAACGTTGCAGCTTTCTGAAAGCTGTATAAGCAGCGCCTGGCACAGTTGCACAAGCAACTCAAATGGTTCATTGGGGCAGGAATGTGTTTAAGTAAAGGGACCCCTGACCATTAGGTCCAGTCGTGGCCGACTCTGAGGTTGCGACGCTCACCTCGCTTTATTGGCCGAGAGAGCCGGCGTACAGCTTCCGGGTCATGTGGCCAGCATGACTAAGCCGCTTCTGGCGAACCAGAGCAGCGCACGGAAACTCCGTTTACCTTCCCGCCAGAGCAGTACCTATTTATCTACTTGCACTTTGACGTGCTTTCGAACTGCTAGGTTGGCAGGAGGAATGTGTTTAGGGGTGCCAAATAATAATAATAAGAAGCAGGCAAGCCAAGGGGTGCACCCCACAATGTCTTGCAATACAGCAATGGTGCTGGGGCTCAATATCCATCGTCACATTGCTCTGGGATGACCCAACATCCTCTGCAACATTGACACACAGCTGGAAGCGGCAGGTGCTGTTTGAGCATCTCCTCCCACCTGGAGCCCTTGTGGTTCCACAATGCTGTACCTAACATGCTGTTCCCATTTGGCGGGGGGTGGGGGCAGGAATCACCCTGGCTGCCATACGTGTTTTCCTGGACATTTTGCCATTCGTATGGCAGCCCTAGCTGTACCCAGTTGAGGCCAGTCTGTGTATGCATGTCTGGTTTGTAGACATTCCAGGTACTTTTAGGAGAATAAGTGTTTGTTGATTTATTATTATAATAATTTTAATAATAATATTTTTTTATTTATACCCCGCCCATCTGGCTGAGTTTCCCCAGCCACTCTGGGTGGCTCCCAATCAAGTGTTAAAAACAATACAGCATTAAATATTAAAAACTTCCCTAAACAGGGCTGCCTTCAGGTGTCTTTTAAAAATAGGATAGCTGCTTATTTCCTTCACATCTGAAGGGAGGGCGTTCCATAGGGTGGGTGCCACTACCGAAAAGGCCCTCTGTCTGGTTCCCTGTAACCTCACTTCTCGCAATGAGGGAGCCACCAGAAGGCCCTCGGAGCTGGATCTCAGTGTCCGGGCTGAACGATGGGGGTGGAGACGCTCCTGCAGGTATACAGGATAGATATTTATTGTTCTGGTAAGATGGGCACAGTTTCTCCTTTCTGCTGTAGCAGATCCTGTCCATCCAAAGGTGCATTTCATATCAGGATGATGAATTTCTGGACCCAGCAGCCTCACTTTCTTGCCACACCTGCAAACCCGCAAACCAGCTTCTTCAGAACATGAGAAGCCCAGGAATTCCCTGCCAGGAGCTTCTAAACCATGGGTAGGCCAACTAAGGCTCAGGGGGTCGGATCTGGCCCAATCGCCTTCTCAATCCGGCCAATGGATGGTCCGGGAATCAGCGTATTTTTACATGAGTAGAATGTGTCCTTTTATTTAAAATGCATCTCTGGGTTATTTGTGGGGCATAGGAATTCATT